TGCAAGAGGTGCGCTGCATGAAACTGGTCCAGCACCCCAACGTGGTGCGCCTCTACGAGGTCATCGACACCCACGCCAAGCTCTACCTCATCCTGGAACTGGGTGACGGCGGCGACATGTTTGACCACATCATGCGGCACGAGGGCGGGCTGGCCGAGGCGCGCGCCAAGCACTACTTCGCCCAGATTGTCCACGCCATCTCCTACTGCCACAAGCTGCACGTGGTGCACCGTGACCTCAAGCCCGAGAACGTGGTCTTCTTCCAGGAGCAAGGAGTGGTCAAGCTCACCGACTTCGGCTTCAGCAACCGCTTCCAACCCGGCAAGATGCTCACCACCAGCTGTGGCTCGCTGGCCTACTCGGCGCCCGAGATCCTGCTTGGAGACGAGTACGATGCCCCCGCTGTCGGTAAGGGCACTGGTGCTCGCCCTGGGGACGTGCATCCCGCCTGTCCCTTGTCCGGAGCGCGGTCCTGCTGGCTGGGTACCACCTTGCTTTTGGCCCCTTATGCTGGGAGCACCCGTGCCTCGGTGGCACTGCTGTCACCGCAGGGAGCAATCCTGTCCCTTGGGTGCTTGGCCCTGCCCTGGCACAGGGCGGTTCTCCCTGTGGAGACAGTCCCTGCGCCCACCGAGATCCTGCAGAGCTGGGGAGGGGAAGAAGCCCAAGCAGACTGCGAGCCTGGTGTGGCATCTGCCAGGGCTCGGGGGGAGCAGGGCAAGGGTGCAGCTGCCAGCAAGCCGGCACTGGCGGTTATTTGAGGGGGTGATGCTGGAAGGAAACCTGCTGGGGATGCTGGCGTTTGGGCGGAGAAGCTCCAAAAGTTTCCTTTGCTCTATCCCTGCCCTGAAAACCACTTCCTCTCTGAGTCTCAGCATCTTTCCTCTCCTGGCCAGGGTGCAGGAGGGCTGGGGAGACTGTCCCAGGGTGCAGGGAGCCGGACTGCGGGTCCCGAGAGGCTTTGCTGGGACAGAGAGGACGTGGGAGGGAAGCGGGACCTGAGCCAGCTCTGCTGGAGGATTTAGCAAAACAAAACACAAGCCCTGAAAGGAAAAAGCCCAGCGTCGGCTCGGGGAAGGGCAGCTCCGGAGTTGAAAAAGAGGATGGCTTGTGGAGATGGGAGAAAAATAAGCCAGTGGCTCTGCAAAGGGAAACGAAGGGAGAAAAGCAGCGCAGATGAGAAATTTTCAAACGCAAGCACTTGGCTTAAAAAGCTGAAAGTATTAACGGAGAGCCCTGGGGTGCGCTTGGCAACCTAAAAAAGTGCTTTTGCAGGGAGAGTTTATTGTACTTCTCAGGAGGAGCAGCCGCTGGCTCCGTCCATGTTCCCAGAGACAGTTGGAGAGCCCGGATCGGTGCCACGTGCCCTGTCACATCTCCATGGTGTCCCCTCCAGCACAGCCCGCTGCCGGGATGCTGATGACGGGGTCCGTTTGGGAACTGGGAAACTGGGTCATGACATGAAATGGTGCCACAGGGATGGTCAGCAGGGACAGAGCTCGGGGCTCTCCTCTGTGTCCCCCACTGGGGCGGGGATAAGAGGGGATAAGATCTCAACTTGAAGCTCCATCCTGCTTGCATGTGGGGATGGGGAAGGTCCCCCCATCTGTGGGGCAGGACCTGGGAGATGTTACCCCCAAGGAGCATCCCAGTGAGTGCCGGTCTCTGCTGAATCAGCACGGGGGGCTGGTGGGGTGCTGGGCCATGGTGGGGCCCAGCCTAAACTCC